CCAGGTAAGGACCACTTGCCAATCAGAAGCAGAGAAGGGCGGGTTGTAAGAAACAAGGTAGTGAGATCCAAATCAAAGCCGCTTCAGACTGCGACCGTAACCTAGCAGATGGTATCAGTTACTCCACAACATCATTGTTCCACATCTTACATAAACCACTACAAAAATCATCATATTTCAACTCAATTTTACATAAAAATTGGCCAAACAATTTGAACGTTTGCTCAGTAGCTTTCACATCAGATGTAACATTAGCATTATCATTATAACTTTAGCTGTGTTAGCCAACGTTTACAACACCTCCGCACTTGAACAATCTGTGAAGTTACACTGCTGTGTTTATTTTAAATATAATTCACAACCAATAAAGCATACTTACAGGTTGTGATTGTGAATTTCCAGGCCCAAACAGAGTCGGAGTTGCATCGTCTTTTAGGACTAAACGTTGAACTGTTGCCGGTGTTCTGACGATCTATGCTGCCTTGCTGAAAAATGCCACCATAGCGCACATCGATAGACTCGACTCTACTCAGCCCTGCTCCGTTTCCCATTGCATTTAGTAGATAGGTAGGTAGTAGTAGTAGTGATTTCCGATTATTATTTTTTTTTTTACTAAGCCTATTTAAAATCGTATTTGATTGCAGAGCGCCGTAGCGCATTCACGCAGAACTTCCTCCCGCTCGTCCGTGCCTCTCTTGTTCTCTGTCACTCATGGAACCGCTGCACAAATCTGTCCAACACAACGCTGTCATTGTCGGAGACCCAGCTTAAGAAAGTTATTAGCCAGCATGCACGGGGTGTAGCAAATAAGGAGAGCTAAGTTAATGTTAGAATGCAGCTGGACTTCCGAGGCTTGCACGCTGTATATAGGGTAGCAAGCAGTTCAGAGCAGAGTTTTCCGTGGGAGATGGGAACTCCCTTTGGGCTGGACTTTGGGCTTTTTCACTTTGCAAACCTGTTACATGCACAAATAAGATATATAACTATAACTAAAAAGCAGAATACCACCACTTTAAGGTGCATTTCCCCGAAATGTTATAGAAGTTAAATAAGACAGCATTTTAAACACTCTATTAATCTTTTTAGCCTCTTTTACCCAAAAAGCAATGGATTACTGATCCACAGATCATAAGTGCATTCCAACTCTCTCCTGTTCCACAAAGAAATGAACTATCAGTCTTCCAACCAAACAGTGCAATGATTCAAAGCATTTTAACTTAGCAGTTTTAACTTTTCGTTTTTTTAACTTATATCAACCCATTCAATGTATTCAGTGTTACATCATTTTTATCATCCTTACACAAGCACCGAACCTTGGGGGATGCCTTGTGCTAAAGGAGCAGTGGAGGAGGTGCATTTACTGATGAACTGTGGTCTGTTGGTGAGGTAAGAGCGGAGCCAGGAGAGTGCAGTGCCAGTAATATTGGAGTAAGTTTCCAGTTGGGAGAGAAGAGTGGAGTGGTTGATTGTGTCGAAGGCTGCAGTGAGGTCGAGCATGATTAGGATGGTGAGGTGACCGGAGCCCGCGTGATGATGAGTGGGGTGATGAATGGAAGGCAGGTCTTGATTAGGGATGATGGGATGGGATCTAAGCAGCAGGTGGAGTAATTCATTTTTGTGGTGAATTGTAACATTTCTAAAGGGGATAGGATGTAGCCACTGTGTCCGAGTTTGGTATATTGTTTGGCTGTTGTCATCTTGATTTTTTGGAACCAGACACCAGATGTGACAATATTTGGATGGGTGGTGCTAGCTAGCAAGGTAATTAATAATAAAAAATAATTCACATTCACTGTGATACTGACAGGGATGCTAGTTTTGACTAGGGAAAAACAGGCTCTCATACATGAATTATCAAAAACATCTAGATTTAAAAAAAAAATACAAATCCATTTACATTTTTTTTTTCAAACTTCAGTTTTTTTTTTTATTATACTGACTAAATAAAGAAGTAAAATGCCACACCTGACAATATGAAATATTATGTTTTTTTTTATTCATGTTATGCTATTTATTTAAGCTCAATAGTTGAAAATTAACAATAAAAATATTTTAGGAAAAAATAGGAGGAAAAAAACTCATGGTGGTATTTATAACTGTAACTGTCCTCAAATGACTTGTCACTTGACCATGAAATAGTAACCCAAAATGGAGTTAAAATAACTGTCCACAAGTGTGGACGCCATGCATGAAAGGGTTAAAACCAAATTTACTTGTATGGAAAAAATAAACAGCCAACTACTAATAAGCTTTTTCTGTGGTGCTTGTTAAATTTACACAGTGCAAAGGATATGAGTTGCCTCTATCCTGATTGACAGGGCGCCATTGTATCAATCAATGACAAGGGAGCCCCACCCTAAAGCATGCCCTGCTTTATTGCCTGTTTTCTATCATCATGTATTGAAGAAGACTTCAATCTACACTGTAAACCCCAATCCATTTTTGACATAAAATTTTAATGTTAAGTCTACACAAATGTTCAAAACTGTCAACATGACATAAAAACTTTGAGTTCATTTGACACAAAAAGTCATCCCTTGTAAGGTTGACATAATTTTTTTTTTTAAGTCAACAATTTTTCATTTTTGAGTTGGCGTTACTAAAATATTTTAAGCCGATTATAGCCTAATTAGTTTAAGGCCAATAAAAAAAAAATAGATGATAAAAAATAGATAGTTGTAAAAATTTGTACTTAATGTTTTTATGTTTATTTGACAAGTAGTCACTTCCTCTTTCAATAAAATTAAGAAATTTGTGTTCATGTAACGTAACAAAACATATCATTACAACATGTGTTGCAGTGTTAATGCTGAACACGAAAATGTTTTGCTGTCTTGACATAAAACTACTAAGATTTAGACTTATTATAACACATTATATAGTTTTAAAAAGTAGTAAAAGCAACATTCAGTTTAAAGGTCGAGTACAATTTCCTTTCTGTGTGTAACTTAAAGTATCTGAGTAAAAAGAAAGCCTGAATGTGTGTTGAAATGTATACGTCAATACAATGTCAATAAGTAAACTCTTCTTCTTTAGCAATTTAGGGTTCATAAAGAATCTTTTATTTAATTATTGTTGACAACAACAAACAACAAAGCCTGTCTGCCATGGTAAAATAATGCTTTTGTACAGTATATACAGTAGATACATTAGATAAGTAAACCATGTCTTTATTAATTAGTGAGTACAATGCAGGTGCAAAACATAATTTGGGGATAACTCATTGATCAGGCCTTCATGTGAAAGCACAACTCTCACGCTGGGCTCTAGTATCAACATTATAAGCAATGTTCTCTGTGACCTTTTGAAAAATATTTAGGTATAGCAGGGATTAATTGGCATGTCTGGCCCCTCAGTTGATGTCCATTTGACCTGGTTGTCTCTACCAGGATTGTTGGATAGTCAGCACAAGTGATTGATTGTGATAAAAAGTAACATACAAATATACAGACAAGGACAAATTAAAGGAAACAGATACATCCAATGCAGATGCTTGGTACACCTGGGCTAACTGTGTGGTTTGGTGAGGATGAAAATTATGTGAATAAAATGCTACGGCCTTCACAGTCACCAGATCTCAACCCAGTTTCACACCTGTGGAAGATTTTGGAGCAATATGTAAGACAATGCTTGCCACCAGCATCTCCATAGGACCAGATATATTTGTGTTTCTTTCTATCTGCTGTACTTGGATCTCTTTTATGGACTGTCTCAGAAAAACAGATAAATACAGTAGAATGGACATACTATTGGACTGGCCTACAGGAATAGGTGATGTGTGCATATGAGGTGGTATTTTCTGTAAACTCCACTACTTTCACACACTACTATTTAAAATTATCCACTTTATAGACACAAGTAGTGTGGTTAGCATTAAGAAAAAAGTGGATAAAAACATACTGAGACAAGTAACTCATCAACTACCAAAACATAATACAATAAAAGTCCATGTCATTTATAAGATATGCAACATAATGTTATTTGTTTATGTATTTAATATGTGGAAATAGGAAAGCTGCGCATTATTTTAAACTTTAGGTTTCAGGCGGCAACCAATAGCTAACGAGGAGGATAATGACGAAAGCATGAGCCACCGCTGCCAGCCAAACAGAAGCAGCAGAATACGGTCGTTAGTGTCAGTTGAGATTTCGGCTCGAGTCAACAACTGTGTATAAAATTGGAGGCTGCTGCGCAGTGAAAAGATAACTCATTAATTCTGTTTTAAATACATTACTCTGTGTGGCTAAATTTACTTTCTTGACGTTTGACGTTGTGCCAAACGTGACTAATATCCAACTGTGTCGAACATGTGTTTTTACACATTATTAGCATGGAACTAATGTTGACTCCTAAGTTAACCTTACACAAATGATTGCAACATAAACGTTCGACTTGTTGCAGGGAGAAATGTCCTGATATGGGTGAAAGTATGTTGAGCAAGGAAAAAGCTTTCTTTACAGTGTGACCTTATCAGTGATATTGCATGTCTGGGCGTAAGGAGCACATTTGTAACGTTAATGTTACAGAGAATAGTAACTTGCATTTGGTCAGAATGGGCTTTTGGGTGAAAACGTACCGTTGATGGTGCACCAGTTAATGATGGGGTGAGTTATGAGAAATATACCATGACAACTACCATGATATAGAGCAAACTGCGACACAAGTAACATTAATGTAACTAACGTTAGCTAACTTGTGGGTTAGAAAACTGTTGCTACAGTTGCTGTTGTGAAGCTAACCTGCAGAGAGGACAGGACACTGATGTTAGCTTTTAGTTAAAGGAGTTAAGGGAAACTTACATGGCCGAGCATCACTTATGGTTGTGAAAGAATGGTAGACTTTTAGGTAAACTGACTGCTGTCTGAAAACCCACTTTTAAATTAAAACAAACCTTTTATTACATTTGTGAATATGCAAAACAACAACAACTGAGATTTCACTGCTTTTATTGACATAAAAGCCACATTGTTCCGTAACATTGTTCTGTGCTGTATTTTCAGAAAAGATGGCCAGCTCTTTTCCGGGAAAACCAGGTAACGTTAACTCACATAAAGCACACATACAGTATTTAGAGCTATGGTATTAGGTCTATTTGATTGTTAATTGTTGTACCTTTTCATAATGTGTTTTCTCATATTTTTGTCACATGGTGTGTTGTATTCAGCTACAGTGTTTCCCCTATTTGTGCTAGCTAACATCTCCCCTCCCCTTCAGACTGCAGCTGAGCAGGGAAGCTTAACGTTATACAGTAGGCTGTGTTTTTGTAACTTAACTATAGGTCAATTTATAAAAAGTAGCTGGTAGCTGTATTTTATTACTGCCTACTTGTACAATGTTGAGAACATCAGTTACAAACTTAACTTAAACTGGTGTAGCCTAGAGCTCTGTCCTACAGACTGATTCATCCAAAATTAATTTTCAGTTTTCAGATGAGTCTGAAAAGGTGTTTGTTAGGAAAGGAAAGGATGCTGGTGACCGGAGGAGCTGAGGTTAGCAAAGCAAATTAGTGATGCCAACTAGTACTCAAACTTTTGAAGTCTGAAAAAAGCGAAACTGAAATTGTGGTCTTTGGGCAAACAGACTGTCTCAAGGGCTGGGACAGTGCCATTGGCCCATTAGCTTCATTTTCTCGCCCAAGCACAAAAAATATAGGAGTGCTTCTTGACTGTGGTTTTAAGTTTGACAAGCAGGTCAGCGCATTGGTGAAAAGCAGCTTTTATCATTTAAGACTACTGAGTAAAATCAAGCCCTATCTCCCTAAGAAAGACCTGGAGAGAGCAGTCCATGCCTTTGTGACATTGCAGCTGGACTGCTGTAATTTGCTGTACTGCGGTCTTGAACACCGCTCTCTTCGCCGCTCTCTTCGCCGCCTCCAGGGGGTACAAAATGCGGCTACCCGGCTTCTGACAGGGAAAAGAATAAGGGAGCACATCACCCCCGTGCTGGCCTCATTATACTGGCTCCCTGTATCTTTTAGAGTGCATTTTAAGATTTTATTAATAGTTTTTAAATGTTTGACTGATACTGCGCCACCTTATCTTTCTGACATGCTGTACCCTTATGCTCCTGCCAGAGCACTAAGGTCAGCAGACCAGCTCCTCCCTAAAAGCAGGCTCACCACCCGAGGAGACAGAGCCTTTTCAGTGGCAGGACCATGGCTGTGGAATAGCCTACCCCTTCATGTTAGATCTGCACAATCTGTAGATCAATTTAAAAGCAGGCTAAAACACACCTGTTCTCTTTAGCTTTCAACACAGAATAAGCTGGTTACATTGGCCGTTCCACTATTTTAATGTTCTATATTTCTATTTCTTTATTTGTACTTTATTATCTTGTTATTTTATTCTGATTAATTGATTCCATGTGTACAGCACTTTGGTCAACAGAAGTTGTTTTAAATGTGCTTTATAAATAATTTTGACTTGACTTGACTAGTCCTTTTAAGCTAATGAGATGTTTTTTGTTTTTTGGATTTTAACGTGCAAATAAAATGCACCTCTGAAGGGAGGAGGTTTCTCATGTTGCCTATTTTTTATATTAATGTCTACAGATAAATGTCAAAGGCTACAAAAGGCAAACATGAACAGTGCTATCTATAATGATTCTGAGGTCATATTAACAGCGTTTTAGGGGGTGATGCCCAAAACATGCTGTGCCATGAATGTAAAATCACTGTGGAGGATCAGAACCAACCAAATTACTTTCCCCAAATCTAAAGGTTGTAGTTCCTCCCCAGTAGACTGATCTTTGGGTGTTGGTTATTTATTATCTGCTCTAGCTTTTCCAACTATTTGTTCAGAGATATGGTGAAAATAATGATGTGTAATTACATATTTGTCAAGGTACAAGGTTGTTTATTTGTTTATTAGTTGCTTATTCAAAAAAAAAAAATTGCCTCACCTCCGCTGCTACAACTCCATCCTAGGGGAAACACTGAGCTATCATCCGAGATACATAGAGGGTGATTTTGGTGGGCTATGTTTCTGATGTTATGGGGGAGTGATTAAGGTCACTTTGTTTTTATCAGGTTTCTGCAGAATACCGTTGCATCAACAACCAGCGGCTGAGAGTTGAAGTGTATACTGCATTGTTTGCTAGCTGTAGCCAGAGAGATGCAGGGAGAATTGGGCGGAAGTGCCCAGAAGATCTCTTCTCCATTGAAGAAGCAAACTCAGGTAAATTATTGGAATGTCTTGAACAGATCCTTAGGATCAGTACAGGGGTAGATTCAAGCACATTGTAATGGATCAGTATCGACCCTTTTCAGAAATCCTATTACTGTTCTCTATGTTGTTTTGTCCACCTCAGCATGCTAGCTTTACAGTGCAAAGTTTTTGCTTGTATATAGGTGAAAATTAAGATTGTGTGAATGTGAAAAATTATTTGGGCACACTGGTGCAAGTGACTGACACCTGGTTGGCAAAACATATATTGTGACTAACCATTAACAGATCTGTTATCTCCCCTGCTCTTCTTCGTCATCTTTTTTTTTCCAGCAAAGAGCAGTATAACGAACACTCAACTAGTAGCTTCAGCAGATGAATAGGTCTTGATTTCATTTTCAAGAGTCAAGGTTTTTCATGATAAACATTCATTCATATCCTAAATTCTTCACATTTATGAACTTTATATTTTTCGATCAGGATCTTCAGTTTTGGGATGTAGATGCTTATGTAAAATAAGGTGTGTTGAATGTATTAGGCTATAGCTGCATTATATCAGTGTGCACGGTAGGCCTGTGCCAATTGGTGCGATTGGATTAGCTATCGATGGTTAAAGGGATGTTCACCGATTGGTTTATCATGCATCGATATTAACGAATTCACTATTAGAACTAAGATGTCATAAAAAACGTCTCTTGAATCTGCACCACACTGCAGTGTTTCCCATTCATTGGTGTATTTGTGGCGCCACGACACGTCACAATATCAATGCTAACTGCCGCATACTAAATACTATTTAATATGAGTAAAATCATAATTCATTGTGGAGCTGCACATAGATGGACACAGCACCTCTGCTTGCTTGCTCCCTCTCTCACAAACACGTGAGGTTGGCACGCACTTGCACCACGACAGTTACACGGTAATTCTGTGAGAAACACTATACTGTCCATTTACAGATGTTTCTGGTGGTTTCTCTTAAAGTTAATAAGCGTGGCATTTCACTGGCATGCTGCAACGATCAGATTGCCAATCGGTGATCTCAAGAAGCCATGATTAGACTATATGAAAATAGAGAAGATCGCCCAAACCTAGTGCCAGGTATATATTTAATAAACATTTGAATAAAAAAGTATTGAGTCGGACTTGCAAAGAACTCTGGCTCAGCCAAAA